CCACAGGAAAAGTCGTTCAGATGGCTGTCTTGAATTTGAATCAGAACATTAGCCACATTACCATGTTATCTCCTCTCCCAGGCTAGTGAACTCAGAGTCAAGACAATAGAAAGAAAATACATTTCCTGTGATATTTTTAAAGGTATACATTATGATCACTAAGTCCTAAGATATTTTCTTCTTCAAGACCACTTAGGCTCAATAAATTTCAGTGATCTTTAAGACATACATTGTCTGAGGCAGGGTGCTATAGTGGACAGACTCAGAGAGACCTGGGTTTGAATCCCAGCTGCGCCACTTAGGCCCTGAATGAGTTTAGGGTGAGGCCTGTTTCCTCATCTGTTAAAACAAGAATGTTATTGCAAGAAAAACATAAGAAAATATGTAGAAAGCTTGAAGGGCACAGTGAAGACTTAGGAAATACTAGTTTTCCTATCCACAATAAGAAACGTATATCCTGGGTGCCTCGCCTGAACCTGAGCTAACCACAGGCCTAGGTAATGCTCTCTGGTAGACAGCTAGCGAGCGCCCTTCAGGAAAGACCATCTGCACAAGGTCAGTTGTACCTGCTGGGATGTGTATTTTTAGTGGTGCATCTGTGTACTTACTCAGTGCTCCCGCTGAAATCCCATCGAGTCTATAATCTCAGGAGTTACAAACTCCTCAAAGGACTATCTGTTTACAGCCATCTGAACAGCCTCTACGAGATAAGAGGCACAGAGCACACATTAACCCAGTGGCTGGCAGAGAAACCTGTGAGCACGTACATTCTGCCAGTTACCACACAGCTGGAATTTATCCGGGCTCCATTTTCTCCAGTTGCTGAGGAAATCACCTCTTTTGTGATCTTGTCAACTAAATGATATATTCATCAGAAGTAGGGAGCATATTTTTTTCCTTTCTTCCCAGCCTTTCAGGGAGCACCCCCCCAATCGGTGCTATAAAAATGTTTACTCGGTCAACTCTATGTCAAGTCGTGGTCATTTAGTTAAACTTAATGTTTCAAATGATATTTATTTCCTGTTCTCCAAGAGCACTTAAGAAATTTTAAAAACCATCAGTACACTTCCTATAGAAAAAAAAAAAAAAAGTGTGAAAATTACGGTTGTGTATTTATTTAGGTTTTCAAAATTAAAAGATTCAAAAGCAAAATAGTAAAGAGTAAAGCATTGTTCCTTTTTAAAATTAAGATCATCTAATAACTTGGAAATTGAGAAAACAAAAAAGTAATGGTAGAAAATTATTGTGGATGCTGCAATGCACAGAATAACGGCCTGCCAAAGTACTAATCCACAGAGTCTGTGATTGTGTCACCTTCTTGGCAAAAGGGAGTTTGCAGATATGATTAAGGATTTTGGGGTGGAGAGGGTATCCTGGATTATTTTGGTCACCTCAATGTATTCACAAGGGTCCTCACAAGGAAGAGAGGGAGAGAGGAGAGTCAGAGCCAGAGGAGATGTGACAGTAGAAACAGTGATGTCCTCACTGATGGGGCAATGAGCCAAGGAATGCAGGCCAACCCCAGAGGCTGGAAAACACAGGGAATGGATCGTCCCCTGGACCACTAGAAGGAGCACCATCTTGACTTTAGACCAGACTCATTTTTGTACACTGGCCTCCAGAACTGTAAGTCAGTAAATTTGTGTTGTTGGAAGTCACAAAGGTCACTGTAATCTCTTAGCTCAGGAATAGGAAACTAATACAGATCAAGGAGAAAAACAAGACATAGTACGCATACAAATTATTTTGGATTTTGATATCAAAATTAAGAACTGCAAACAAAATAGAAAGAGCAATGGATTCACTGTATTTTGCATCCTTTTGTCACTTTTGAGCTTCAGCAGAAAATGTTCTTATCCAAATGCTGTGGGTGACTCTGAGTCAGTGAGACGGCTGAAGAGCACAGCACATATTACAGATGATAAGCCATGACCAGGGGAAGCAAGACCCTGAGGGGCTCAGGCAAGGCCAGGCCCTAGAGGATCTTGCTTTCCCTGGTCACTGCATGCGGATGGCCAGAGCACATCCTAAAATGTTTCTAGAAAAGCCTCGATGTTCCTGGCCACCGCACCCAAGCTGGTTGACCTGCAGCCCCACTGGCCGAGATGACCCGGTGTGCCACAGCACCAACCAATGTGTGTTCATTCTTTCTCCCACTAGTCGGCTGCCAGATCACCAAGACAAGTGTTTTAGAGGCAAGGTTTCATGTAGGCACCTCCTAGAATTAAAATTACTTCAGGGATGCCCACAGTATAGTTGAAGGAAACACCCCAAAGGCCAAAGGAAGCCTGCTTTATTTAATTTACAATGCACAAAATATTTATAGTTCCTCAGACATTTTCATGGCAATAAAAATTACACTTTATGACATAATTATTAATGGTTTGAACAGAAATAAAACCGTATAAACGAAGTATGGCTGATACTATGAAAATGTAAACCATATAAACCAAAATCATAAAGCAATTATTCAATACTCAGAGGCCTACTTATTACATACATAGAAAATTTCTTACACACACGTACAATAAAAGCTCACAAAAAACGATCACTCAGAAGCCGATCACTGTACAAATATGAAAATAAATCTTTGTCTTTAACCTCAATTTTATTTTCAGCAAGAGGGCTGTGCAACTTGAGTTTATGCAAATCACATTTTGTATTAAATAATCAAGTGTCACAGATGTCATACAAAGCAGGAAGTGGAAAAAATAAATTATAAAAATGCATGAGGCTAAAAGTTAATAGTACAAAACGTCTCCTTCTCCAACATTCTCTTCTATAATGAAATTAAAATATTATCCAATGTGTCAGGACACACAAAAAAGGAACATAGTATAATCACTTTTAAAAAATCACTTTTTAAAAGCTCAAAGGCAAAATTCACACAAAATGAGTTGTCTGCATAGAAATATGCAATGTACCTAATTAAGTCTAAGTTAAAAATATGCAATACAGTCTTGTGCCACACATAAGAACAGGCCAAAAAGGTGACGGTGGTCCCATAAGGTCGTAAAGGATTATAAGCAAGAAGTTTTATTTGAAATGTTGAAAGAAAAGGCTGGGCCGACTTGGACGTTGAATTTACTGCTAGCTCTGGGTGGTTTAAATAAAGGGGAGGCTCAGCATGCTGTGCACGACTTGTACACGCCGAGCGCCCGCACACACACAGACACACACACACTCCTGTGCACAAACGCAACTTCCCTCCCAGTCCAGCAGTCCAGCCCCCCCGCCCCGGCTCGCTCTCCCTCTCTCCCTTTCATCATTTCTCCTCTCAAGCTTTCTCTCTCGGGGTCTCTTCTGACCTCTGCTCTCCCTTTCTCTCCCCTCTCCTTCTGTCTCTGCTTCCCCCCTCCTTCCTCCACAGCCCCCCTCCACCGGTCCCCCAACTCGTGCACGTGGGCACACATTTATCTTTTATACTGTGTTTTTACTGTACCTTTTCTCTTTAGAGGTGTTAAGGTACACAAATACTTACCAAAATATTTATCTGTGTTTGAACAAAGGTGACTTTTGTGTAATCTAATCAATTTGGGTGTGCTGGCCATACAATTCAGAAGCAAAGGCCCAGACAATCTTCTGTATCAAAGGTGTACTCATATGTACAGACTGTAAGACTAATAGAGACACAGTGGTGGAAAATAAAGGCCACATGATAACCTGAACTAACAGTTTTGTGCAACTGCACCAAACACCTAACAGGAGTCCCATAAACATACATATCCGGTCCGTTCTAATCTGGGCTCCACAGACGTCATCCAGGCAGACACAGTACAGAACTTTCATCTCACCGAGCCCCAAAATAACCATCACTCCCTCCCTTGCGCAGTTTGACAGTTCCCCACAAGCAAGGCATTCTTTTGGGTCAGAAATATAAACTCTTTTTTCTGGGACCAAAAAAACATAAAGAGGAAACAGGAATCCACAGTAGAGTTGCTATGGATAGAGCCCACTTTCCAGGGAAAAAATTAGATATCAGTAGAGAGAAAGCCTGCTCTCAAAAGCCAAACGATGCCGTGGCTACTTATAATCTGTGTAATGTACCTAGTCAATTTTCCTTAAAATAAAAATGAAGCTTGGGGAATTTAAGGTCTGATCATAAAAATCATAAACAGGAGAAAAATTGCTACAATGAGTTGCTTTAATTCAACCAAAGGAATGTCTTTAGCTTACATATAATAACTATTATTTAAGTATTTTTCAGCAAACTACTTGGGGCCTGGACCTTTTCCCTGGTTGGGAATAGCTTAATTGGTTCAGGCCACTGAAGACCAAAAACCAACAACCAGGCTTCGCTGACCCACCCCAGTGTCAGGTGTCGACCCCTTTCACTCTTAGAGACATTGCAATGGGGAAGTGTGGGAGGTATTGCAGGTTCTAGAAGAGCAAGGCCAGCTAGGTCTTGGTGAGGATGTCACTAGTCATATTCAACCAAGGACCCTGACTCCTTTCTTAACCACACCATCTTCTCTTTTAACGAGATGCTTTTCCAAGAACCATGCACAATGCTTCCTCCGTTGTTCATCATTTAAGGAAGTGAATGCTGGCAGGTAGAGAGTGGAGCAATTTGCATTCTACTGGAGATCATGCTTTTAAACCACTGGAAGGTTTGAAATAAGCATGCATATTTTCACTTGGCAAAGTGTTAAATAGTTCTAAGGACTAATTATTTTTTAATAAGACATAATTCACATACCATAAAATTCACCCTTTGGAAGTATAAAATTCAGTGGCTTTTAGTGTACTCACAAAGTTGTGCAACAATTAATCCCACAGTACAATTCCAGAACATTCATGTCATCCTTGAAAGACGTCACACACCCATCAGCAGTCACTCTCAGTTCCTCCCTGTCCCCAGCCCCTGGTGGTCACTCACTGGTGTGTTTTTTTTAAGTGAGGAGGACAATCTTCCTGGGCATTGTACTCTCAGTAGTATGGGGCTTTATGTGTGTTTATTAGAACTTTCAACACTGAATTTAAACCATGGACATTGTAAGTTTTCTGAGATTATAAAATACCCTCTTTAATATAGAATTATTTTCATCATAAGAATGTTTTTTTTCTTTATGCATACAAAAATAGATTTTCCTGTCTCTACTGAAGGCTGAAAATTATCATTTTTTCCTCAATAAAATTCTGTTCTTGTTTCAGAAGTGAGAAATCAACACTCCAATATTTTGAAAGTACAAACAACTGGAGTCCTTATTAACCGTGGGTTATCGCACTCTCCTTCCCATGGACAAAAAAAAAAAAAAAGTGCTACAGAATGTGAGAGAGGGCAAAGGCTGGCCAGGCCAAGCTGCCCTGTCGTACAGATGAGGGCACAGATCTAACGGGGGTTGGTGACATGTCCAAGACCACAAGCCTAGTTAACAGCAAAGCCAGGATGGTAATCCCCTTTTACCAGTACTCTAGTATTGAATATTTGAAGGAAATGTTGTCATAGATGTCAGCTACGGCATGAATCTTCTATGTGAGTTTTTTCTACAGCTTTGATCTCAGCAATTAAAAAACTTTTACACCCTATCGTTTAAGACTCTGTAAGGGCAAGACAATTATATTTAGCCAGGGAGCCCAAACTGTTCATGGAAACATAGCAATGAAGAGTCAAGGTTCTGGAGGGACCCAAGAACACAGTTCAGATCTGCCACACTGTAACTCTCCATGTGACAGTGTCTGTAGGCTGCACCACCCTACATAAGAGGCAAACGAGTCCCACAAATTCTGTGTTCTGGAAAGGAAGACTTCACAGGCCAAGGCGTTTCGGGTTTAACCCTTGCAACAGTTCTTCATGTGGGTTGACTGTTTGGAACTGCTTCCAGTCAGGTTGGTAATGGATTTGCTGTCATCTTCATCAGTCCTTTTTTTCACTTCCCTGGAGAGAGAGAGAGAGAGAGGTAGAGGCAGAGGTAAAAGTAGAGGGAGAGGGACAGAGGGGTTAACTGAGGTATAAACATAAACCACAACTGGCTCTTAGACATAAAAACAGCACCACTGAGCACTTGCCGTGTGCTGTCCGGACACTGTTCCAAATGTTTTATAGGTGTTGACTTATTGAATCCTCACAAGAACCATATGAATTTGCTGTGCCCCATTTTACACTTTATATATGAGGAGTTCCCTTACGTCACACAGCTGGAGAAGTGGCACAGCTGGGATTCACACCATGCAGGCTGGCTCCAGAGCCTGCATTCTGAGCACCTGGCCACAGACTCAGGCATGCACGCACTCACGCATGTGTACACAGACCACACGTGCACACACCTGCACACTCAGGCATGCATGCACAGACCCATATGTACACACACCTGCACATACAGACTCCTCTCACTCTCTCCTATGGTTTCACATGCTTTATAGTCTGTCACACGCACGGCCTACTCCTGAACACCCTGGACCTGGCTCCCGTTCCAGAATGATACTTGCTGACATTCACAAAAGCAATTACGTCTTTATAACCATTCTTGAATTATACAGGATCATGGAAGGAGCAATGGGTGGTTAAAATCCAGAAAACAAAACCTTCCTTTTGTGTCTCTTAAATTTCTTTTAGAATTAACTGTTAGAGGCAACACTGACAAAGGTCTCCATGATCTTATAAAAGAGAAGTGTCCTTCCAAGTGCAGCCACTGGGGGTGCTGGTGAGACATGCAGATCCTGCAGTCACACCTTAGATAAGCAGGAGGACAATCTCTGTGGGGGAGGTGAGTGTGACAGCCAGTCCCCAAGGTGCCTCCAAATGATCCCGCTCTTCCCAGTCAGTGCCTGGCACTTCCCCATTAAGAAGTGGAGCCTTTGCCCCCCTCCCCTGGTCAGGACTGGCTCTGTGATTGCTTAGACCCATGGAATGCCAAAGAAATAGTGTTCTGCGACTTCCAAGCCAGGTGTTAAGAAGGCCTGGCCACTTTGAGCTGCATTTAAGAAATCCAGGGTTCCTCAATGGAGATAGCCCAGCAGAGGGGCCCTGGGGGAGGCAAAGACACAAGGAAGAGCACCCTGGTGGCAGACACCAAGCCTGAGACAGCCCGGTGGCCACCTGAATGCAAACACAGGAGACACCACAAGTGAGAGCAGTTGAGGAATCTTCCAACTGAGATCCCACCAATTCTGGTAATTTCAAAATGTAAAAGTGGTTGTGGATTTTAGGTGACTACGTTTGGGGGTGGTTTGTTACAGAGTGGTAGGTACCGGAAATTAATGCCCAGTACAGCAATGCTGTTCAATAGAAATATAAGGTAACTCACACATGTACCATGTACTTTTACATTTTTAGTAGCCACACTAAAACATGCAAAGAGAAACAGGTGAAACTAAATTTATAATGTATTTTACTTAACTCAGTAGAATGTTATCCATTCAGCATATCTATAAAAATATTAATAAGGTACTTCATAACCTTTATAATGTCTTCAAATTCTAGTATTTAATACATGGGGCATATCTGAATTTGGATTAGCCACATTTCAGGTGGCTGGTGGCTACCCATTTGGTCAGCACGGGTCTAGAAGGCTCTAACTTCTGAAAACCACTGCACTGTGAGAAGAACAAAAGGGAAACTAACTCTTGCTGAAGGCCAACTAATAAATGCTGTGCTCCACGATTTCACATCTGTCTTGTTGAAAACACACAGACACACAGTGTCACACACCTCGACGAGTGACAGGTGGGCACTGTTATCCTCACTTCACAGCTGAGTAACAAAGACTCAGGGAATGGAGGACTATCCACAATTTAACCCCTAACACCCTATGAGACTCATTTCAGATTTCTGACCTCCCGAAATGTAAGATAATTTTTCATTGCTTAAACCACTAGGTTACTGGGAATTTGTCACAGTGACAATACAAAACTAATACAACCTCCAAATGCGGTCATTTGGTCATTTGATAAATGTCCAATTTATGCCCAGCTCTGGGATCCTCATTAGTGAGCTTTGAGGGAGAGCCAGAGGTCTAAATAAATCATTACCAGGTCCCAAGAGAGCTGCTACAGTGTTCTGCAGGGACGCGCAGCATGCTGGGTACAGGGAAAGAAGCCCTCCTGGAGGTAGAGCAAAGCGACCTCTCGACAGAACAGGAATTCACCTTCAATTAATGAGGAAAGGAGAGTCCAGGTGCACGGAACAGCATGCACAAATGCAAAGTGGCACAAAAGAGCTTGGCCCCAACTGGAAACATAGTTCACTGTGTCTACAGATTATCATTCATTTGGGAAGCAAAATAAGACATATGATCAGTAAGGTAGGTGAGGTCAGACAGTGAGAGACAAAACCACTTGCTAAGGAACTCAGACTCTCTGCTGCAGGTAGGATACCTGTGTGGAGTTGTAAGCAAGAAAGTATTCACTGGATTTTTATTTATAAATATTACCCTGGTTGCAGGGTGGAGGGTGAACTGATGCTGAAGAAATGCTGAGGCAGAATCTTAGGAGCCTCGTGCACTCAACCCAGGTAAGAAATTCCCAGGTAGGAAATTCTCAGGCCCGAAGCAGATATATATAGATACATACGGAATGAATAAATATGAATAAGCGGATGAATGAGAATATGGGTGGATTCAGGAAAGTCCAGAGAGGTCACTGAATAACCAGGCCCCAGGACCTACTACAGGTAGATGATAAAGGAAGAGAGAAAGGAGTCAAGACTGACTCCAGGTTACTATTATCTAATTATAATTCTGGTAGTTTCCGCAAAAGGTAAGTATATAGTGAATAATGATTTTAAAGAAAAATTAACACTTTAGATTTGGATAATTTGGGTCTGTCATGCTTATGGAATTTCCAGGGGTTGCTGGGAGGGAGTATGATTACGGAATTTTAAAAAGAGGCTGAGGTTAAAATAGAGAATCCGGAAGTCACCAGCTAGAGGTCATTCCAGAAACCATGGGGACGGAAGGCATCAGGCAGAGGGAGACAGAGGAAAGAGGAAGAGTGAGGAACGGACCCCTAAAATTACCAACATTTAAATAGCAAGCCAGTGATTCAGATCAGTCATGCAAAGTCCCAACTGTGCCACTCAGTAGCTGTGTCACTGTAACATTAAGCATTCTAACTCTCAACTTTCTTATCTGTACAAAGGGTACAAGAATCATAGCATCCTTATAAGACAACTCGCATTTCTCCTTTCTGAGACGTCCAATGGCCTCTATCAGCTACATATCATATGGCTGCCTGGTCATATCTTTTTTTCCCTCTAATGTTAAATTGCACGGCCTCTTTTTCCCTTGTCATCTCTACTGAACCATGTATGGGGCTTTCACATGCTGAGTACTCATCACAATGCAGATATCACTGAACCTAAAAAGCAAATAGTAAGGAGAAAAACAGGCACCCACATCATTCACCTGACCTTCAGTTTCTTTAATCCACCAAAAATAAAGGCATGGCCCACTTCTAGGAAATTAGAAAGATGTGATTCCAAACATCTCAAACAGGTTCAATGCTGGGAAAATTAAACTGCCTCACCAAAAACAACCATATGCCTAACAACAGCATTTTAAATGACCCAATCTTAGAAACAGATTTACACCCGAGGGGTTCAGCAACTGTGCTGAACTGATGATATATCAGCCTGAGCTTCCTGTGTTTTTCTCAAATTTCAGGCCATTGGTCAATTAAATGCCTGTAGCATCTGAATAAGTTGAAAAACGTTTAAAGCCCGTGGTTCTGTTAATTGCAAATTTACTTGCCAATGGACAATGGTTGGTTGTATGGATGTGGTATCAGTACAATAGGGAAATCACGAAATTGCATTTCTAAAAGAAACTTTTCCTGGGATTGAGAGGTTTTCTAAGAACTAGCAGAGTAACTCAGGTTGTCAACTCAACGTTTGTGGCCTCCCTTCAAAAATGAATCCTTCAGACAATACAAATCCAGAAACCCACCTAGTTCAAGTTTCATGACATGACATGGCGTGAAAGGGACCATGCTAGGAATTGTCTTAAGAGACCTAAATGAAGAACTTACATGTTTTGCATTCTACACAACATACTAAAGGCCGTAAAACTTTTTAAATGTTGACTTAACCTGGGGAGACGATACCATTTCCATTTAAGACTTAGGTACTTTGACAAGCAAATCTGAAGGCAGAGTATAAAGCAAATTACAGTCTTTATATATTTGCTTTCTTTATAATTTTCATATTTAACACATCGCTAATAACTAAACTAGAGACCTCAAACCAAGCCATAAAGCAAAGCAACAATAAAAAAATTCCTTGATCAAGTCACAAGAAGTGCCCTCATTATTGAAATGCTGTGCACACAGGGTTTTAAGTAAACCCCGCCTGTGTGGCAGCTACATCATAAACAGCTGCAGGAGCAAATGGGGACTGCCAGCCTGCAACCTCTCCCATCTTTATGACATAATAAAGAATATCGATCCTGCACTCTGGGTGTGACCACGGCAATTTGGAGTCATTTAACTTTAATGTGACCCTACAAGACAATTCGGCATTAAATGCAATTATATTATCCAATGGAGTAGAGGCTGCTGTGTGTAGAATCAGACTGTCAGAGCTGGAAAGGGCCTGAGAGGTCATTTTCTTCAGCCCCATCCTCATTTTACAGATTAGAGGTGCCTGCGGGAAGACAGGGACCTGTTCAAGACTTCACAGCTACTCAGGAATAGATCGAAGGCTGGACTTTGAGCCTGTTGACACCACAATCCTCCAACACACCGGGCAGCAGCCCACAGCCATGCAGAGGGCCTGCTCGGCAGCGCCCTTTCCTGCCGGGACAGGGTGGCCGTTCAGCACCACACTGCCTAAGGCCAAGGTGGCACAGAGCCCAGACTTGGGCCCAACCCTGCTCTCAAGACGGGCAGGTCCCTCCCATACCCATCTGCCTCCATGGCACATCATCTCCAACCAGAAATTCTCACGTACATTTTTCAACCTAGCAATTATTCCATGTTCAGTCCATTTCATTGAATCTTACCCCTCCTCATTTACTGAATGGATCCTGTTTGTCCAAAATGGCTGTGCACCCAAAGGTGCATGGAATCCATTATTTCACCTATTTATGAAGGTTTTATTTTGACTCTTGATAAATGTGATTTTAGCTCATGATTCTTCTACTAATTGCAAGCAAAAAAACATGTAATTCACTTGAATTTATACATTTAAATGTTTGTTTGCCTTTTTTCTACCTGTTCTAGGTCATATACAAAGTTAGTACTTCTTCTGTTTTAAACAAAAATGATTTCCAGTGTGGTGGGGGCAGGTGGCTCTCTCTCTGGGATTGATGTCAAAGGAGAAAATGGTCAAAGACTCTGAGTCCAAGCTCAAGGCACCTTCCAGGCCCTGCCACAAACTAATCCTAAGCAGGCCATTTAAGGTCCTAGGGCCCATTTCCTGATCCTCAGGCCAGAGTCTCTCCAGGGCCCCAGGCCAAACCTTCTATTAATAGAATTCTATTCTTGGAAGTACTATAAACATCTAGTCATTAATACAGAAGCAGAATTTTAAAAACTGCGGAGTATTTTAACTGTCAATGTATACTAGCAGAAGAGGCCAATTATCACACGAAAGCTAAGATTCTTGTAAAACATCACAAGTGCTCAGGAAAAGCACCATACACCTAAAATTATGTATTTGCTTTGTCAGCAATTAAAGATCATCGGCCTGGATTTTGTTAAAACACATTTTTATTTTATTTTATTTTATATTTTATTTTATTTTGGATACTTGGTCCTTTCCCAGTAAAGAATTATCTTTTCATCTGTGGCAGAAAACTAGGCAGAAGATATATAAACATAACAGACAATGTTATTTCCTAAAAATACTCTAAGGATTAAAACACACATTGATATCCAAGTTGCTCAATAATGCAAATAATTCTAATCTACATTCCAAAATGTTATTAACACCATTGCCTTAGCTTAATAATTACCTGTGTAATAAATTTAACAAAGTGCTTCCAACTGGCACGATACACAATTTGTCTTACTGAGGTTTTCTTTCCTTCATGCCAGAGAATGTCATAATACCTATATTCATAATAGTCTCTTGTGTTTAAAATCTGGTTCCTGGAAATGACTTGTACAAGTCAACTATGAGCTTTGTGGCAACATTCTGCAGAAATGTCAGCGACACCTCAGACGCACCTGCTCTGTTTGGCAGTAAAGGTGTTTTGCCAATGTTCACAGCGAACGTGCAGCATTACCAGCATTTATAAAATCTGTGTCTAACTGCTTCTCTAACCACTACTGAAAGAAAAGACAGTGTCTTCCAATGTATAGTCATGCTATGGTCGAGAAGTTTGACATATGAACCAACTAAATGAAAATTCAATCTCATATCCAGTTTTCCCAGGAGGGGCCAAAACTTTACCTGGCAAGATGGAGAACAGCTTCCACTACATTCGAACCATCTTTGGCACTTGTTTCACAGAATAATGCCCCATAGGTCTGTGGGACAGAAATAATAGACACTATTAAACAAAGCCTTTGTTTAAGTTTCCTACAGTTTTAGCATATATATCAATAAATATAATAATAAAAATAATTTCATGTCTAGTGACTAGCAGCTAAGAAATTGGATTCAGAGTTTCAATAATTAAAAAGAAATGACTAGCCCTGGCCAGTTTTGCTCAGTAGTTAGACAGTCAACCCATGGGCTGAAGGGTCCCGAGTTCTATTCCAGTCAAGGGCATGTCCGTTGGTTGCAGGCTCGATTCCCAGCCCTGGTCGGGGTGTATGTGGGAGGCAACCAATCGATGGGTCTCTCTCACATCGATGTTTCTCTCTCTCTCCCTCTCCCTCTCTCTCTGTCCCTTCCACTCTCTCTGAAAAGCTATGGAAAAAATAGCCTCAGGCGAGGGTTAAAGAAAACAAAAAAGGAAACGAAAAGAAATAACTAGTGTGAGCCTTGTGATTAGGGAAACAGTTCCTAGTCAAGGTAGTGTTGAGTTTGCATTAAAAAACTTACAACACAAAATTTCATGTTTTAAGGTGCTTACTTCCAATAGTCACACACATGCTACCCAATGTTCGCTATCAAATCATCTGAGACAGATAAAAATGATAGCTTAAGGAAACCACTCAGGAATTAAAAGTCCATCAAAATTCTGCCTCCTTTTGGCCAGCAGCTAACACACGTCCCCTTTCACACTATCATTTCCTATCCAAGATTCAGCAGCCTGCATGTTGCTAAAACCAACGAGCATTTTCTAGTCTTCTATTATTCAACCTTCCGGAGGTTTTGCGTGTGATCACGGATCCTGTCGCTCTCCTGCTGCAAACCCTCCACACTTCCTTTCTACTTCAAGTTCAAATGCTTGACAATAGCCAACAAGATCTAGCTTGTATGAGGCCCCAGCCACACTGGGGGACCTTTATCCACAAGCCCCGAATCCACTGAAAAATCTATTAGAAAATCACAAAATGAATGGATTTCTAGTAGAAATGGGCAGTACTGCTGCCGAGTTCTATAGCCATGATGCTGTGGGGAGAAGCAGAGAATGCCTCTGAGGAAACAGGAGGGTGTAAGTGAGGGGGTGCATAAGCAAACCCTGGAAACCAGGAAATCCTGGGGAGGGAATAGCGCTGGAGTGCGGACAGGAAAGATGAGATCTCTGATGTGGCGGGTGGGACAGCCTGACAGGTGGATTACATGCATTCAATGTTTGTCGCCCCCAGACAATAAACTACGGGAGGACAAGGGCTGTCTGTTTTGTTCTCTGTTGTTTGCTCAACACACAATGAAGTGCTTGTCACGTGGTGGAGACAATTAAATGTGTGTTGAATGAATCTCTTCTGTATTCATTGTCTAGTTTTGATGTTTATCATATTTGGCTCGCAGTCCTAAAAAATAAAACAAGAACGATCTCCCAACTCAGAATAGTGAAATTCAAACTTCTTTTTAAAGTACATATGGATATGCTACCGAGAAGTCCTTTCATGGTGCTGACGGCAGACAACAATGACAGCAATGTCACGTCAGACTGTTAGGTCTGAACTTCTTATCTGACCCAAGGTGCATCTGATTCCCTGTAGGCTAGGACAAGTCATAAGGGGGCCACGCAGCATTCTGACACAGTGGTAATAATGGGAGGGTAAACACTGCCCACAGTAATCGTTCGGACAGGAGTGAGCGCCATCCTCTACACCAGGGGTGGGGGGCATCCGGCCCACAAAAGCATTTGGTCTGGCCCTGCCAAGGCAACCGCAGGCAGGACTCAAAACTCAATAAATCCAGGAGCTTTCCTCATAGCTAATTTTTAAGTTGATAATTTTGTATGGTCTGCAAATGATGTTATAAATATCCAAAGGCCCTTGGAAAAAAAAAGGCTCCCCACTCCTGCTCTACACAAATGAAAAACCGAAAATAATTTTAGACTATTCCAACTAAACACAAACCTTACAGGAAGAAAACAAGTCTTCCTCTTCTCTTCCTACCAGGTGACACACTGCACCATCTTCTGCCCCTGGGCATAGTCACCCTCTGGAATCAAACCCATCTTTTCAAAACAGGACACCCATTCTTTTTCCTTTACCTGGATTCCAGGACTAGAGAAGGATTCCAGGAACTGGGGGACAGTGAGGAGGAAGGCGTGACAATTTTGGCTCCTCTTTGTCAACGATGTTCAATGGGAGGAAAGGATCAAGTGATCAACTTCTTCTATGAGGGATTCAATCCTTGGTGTAATTACTCATATTCATAAGGGGCGGGGACATGGGGAGTTCTGCCTGTCTAAGGACAGAAGCCCCACCAAACAGGGTGGAAGTTCATCAGAGAACCTCTTAAGCAAAGGCAGACAAAAGCGAAAGACCTCTGCCAGGCTGGGTCCGCTCTCTCTTACCATGGCCAGTTTCTCTCCGAAGTACGCTGCGACACACTTTCCTCCCTCTGCAGCAGCCGCGTCACGAAGGTCAGCCTTGTTTCCCACCATCATGATAGGAATACTCTCACTGGCTGCATCCTACCACAAAGAAAAGAAAAAGAGTGTGCATACCTTAGACACTGGACAAGTTATGATGATGACAATAGCCACCACGTCTGAGTGCCCCTGAGTACCACATGATGTATCCATACTGTCTTTTAACCTCAAAATCTCTGAAAAGAGCCAAACATTTTCCCATTGCTAGTGAGAACACTGACATTCAAAGATTTTAAACAGGAACTTATAAGGGCCTGGGCCAGAGTCTGAATTGAGTGCATGCCCTTTCCCACTCTACAAACCAATATAAACTCCAGGAGCATGACTCAGAATTGCATCTGACTGTGGTGCCCACATTTCCTACAACTTCCCACTCTGAACAACAGTGACTACAAGTCAACAGCATTATCCCAGATACAACATACACACAAGTAATTCCTCAGCTATAATGGAACCTGAGCGGAGTTTGGAAGTTCCACACTCGCTGCTATCTGGTTTACAATCAAAACAAAGTAAGAAGGTCCTACAGGTCAACATTTTTCCTATAAGGAGTCAGTTACCATTCTATTTCAAGTAACAGCGTCTCAGGATAATGCTTCCAAACAGCACATGCAAACTTTCCCACTGTCCCACACTCTCAGTGGAGCTGGGTTGAAATGTAAGATGCAAGAGGCAGAGCTGCGTTTGAGACGCCTCCTGGCTACTCATTTGCTGTGTGAAATCAGGCAAGTCTTTGTATGTTTTTGCCTTAATATCCTTATGTGTACAATGAAGGGGTCAGTAAAAGGCACATCCCAGCTCATTAGCCTATGGTGAGAATAAGAGAATATAACCTGCCTAGGGCAGAAAAATGGGTTTCTGGTTCCTAGACAGAGAAGCAGCAGCCCTGGCTAAGGCATTACTCTCTGCAACGCCTAAGGACACCCAGGTGCTCATTCGGTTTGGTGCCGCACCCAATACAGGATCAAGAAATAAGCTTAAGAAATAATGAAGTTATATTTGACTTCCTTTCTCTCCACACCACTTTCCTCTAACTGGAGGCACCAGACTGTGACAAGAGCAGAGGGGAGAGGGAATCAAAGGCCCTCTCCAAACC